TACTCTTGTTTCATACGTTGGGGGAAGCGGACGGGCCGGTGGGATGCTGGACATGGCGTCGCGGACCTGCGTGCGCGAAGAGGCGCGAAGGGGGTGGGGTGGGGATGGGGAGTCGCAGACGATGGTGATGCCGACGAAGAAGTCGAACCTGCGCGGGGGACGGGGGGGGAGGGGGGTCGGGTCGGCGGCGAGGGCGAGGGCGGAGGGGCGGAGGCGGCGTGGGCGGCGGAGGGGCGGGTGGCGGCGGCGAGGGCGATGGCGGAGGCGGCGTGGGCGGCGGAGGGGCGGGCGGCGGCGGCGAGGGCGGGGGCGGGAGGGTGGGGCAAGAGGACAATGCTCCCCTCCGCTTGCCCCCTCGTCCAGCAACGGTGGGCTCTGCGCCGCGTCAAGAGAAGAGTGCGCGCGCCGCGCCCGGCGGAGGGGAGGGGCGCTCGAACCCTTGTTGCCTGGAAGCTGGCGGTTGGCGGGTGGCGTCGGCAACTGGGTCGGCGACGTTGAGCGTCAAGGCGACGAGGTCGAGGCAGGAAGGAGGCGGACGGCAAAGCGGTGACGGAGTCGGCGGTGGAGAAGTCGGAGGTGAGCGCGGAGAGACCCGAGGCGCGACCGCCGCACGCAGCGAACAAAGAGCGCTGGTCCGCGATGTAGCAGATGCTGTCCGGCACGGAGAGCGTCAAGGGCGCGCGCGCGCCAGCCGCCGCCGTTGAGGTTCAGTCGCCCGCGGGCTGGGGTCGAGGGTCTTGGGAGCAGTTGTGTGCCGCGCGCGCTTGGGCTGTGGGTCTGTCGTTCGGGCGCGTGTCAGGTTCTAAGATGGGGGTGCATGCGCCGGCAAACCTGGCGTCGTCGCCTACACAAGCAGACAGCGGCGGGGCGTCAGAGCCGGGCCGGGCCGAGCGGCGTAGCGAGAGAGCATGCCTCGATGCTCTCGATTGAGTAGCAGCCGACCAACTGAGGCGAATTCGGGTTTGATCACACGCACCAAACCCCCTTTCTTTTTGTAATCACCGCTAGCACTTCGCGCCACCGCCGTGACTCCCGCCACGCCCTGCGCGCCATTGGTGCCGGTGTGCCGTCGCCTGGGAGCATGTGGCCTCGGCGAAACGTTGAGATATCGCCGGGTCGTGCAGTGGGTGGCCAGGGGCGGGGCCTCGAAGTTGGCTCGGCCTCCAGCGCGGGCATCCGCGAAGATTCTGATAGCCTCGCGGGACGAACCGACGGTAGGGTTGCCTAACGTTAATTTGGGGCCTAACAGTTGCGCTATTGTTGGCTGAAATCCTCAACGTTGTTCACAAGTGTTCACTCCAGCCCATGCTGTTACTGTTGTTACTGTTGTTACTGTTGTTCAGCGGTCAGCAAGCAGAAAATGCCAAACCCCCCGGGTAATACCCGAAATTACCTAGAGCTTCTTATTGAGCTCGCCATCGACGTACGGCACGCAGGTGCCGCCGCACTTGCCCTCGGCGAGCATGTCCTGGACTAGCTTCTGAGTGAGGACCTGCTCGGAGGGGGACAGGTCCTTCATCTCAGCGAGCTTGGCGGGGACCTCCTGCAGCGCCTCGCAATCGTACATGACGTCGTCGCACAACTTCGGCATCCAGCCGAGCGTGTTGTCAATCTCGAGGCCGAGCCCGCCATACTCGCGCGGCCCCGCGGCGACCGCAGAGATGGTCTGCTGGGTGCGGTACCAGCCGTGCCTGTCCTTGCACTCGAGATCCTCGCCGTACTCCGCCGAGAAGAGCGCGTCGGGCACGCGGATGCCGGGGCGTGGGGTGGAGCCGAAGATCGACTTCATGTTGTACGCGCGAGCCCATCCCTTCTCGCTGAGGCACTGGACTGTCTCTTTCTTTTCAGCTGGGTCGTTCGAATGAATCTTCTCGCCGTGCCTGATGATGTAGATCACCTTGTCGACCGAGGGCTTCGGCGCGGGGCTCGGGGCCGACGAGAAACAGAAAGCAAGCGGCACAGACGCGAGCATGATCGCTCGGTTCATCATGAAGGTTCGTTCGCCTGCACGGAGATGGGGACGGATAATCGAATGATGATCACGTGTGCAAATGGCTGGCGGGTCTGACACGGGGTCTGAACGGGGGATGGGTGGGGCGTGGGGGACAAAGTCAGCCATCGA